ATGGTAAGAAAGTTGATTTTAGGCAACTTTGATCTCGAATAACTTTGTATATATTTGATTAAAAATTTCAAGAAAAATATCTTTGTAGATGGAATATAACTCTAAAACTTCCCGAACAAATCAAATATTGATAGATTTTTTAGAAAAAGATATAAAAATATAAAAAAGTTAGAAAACTCATAAGAATCTGGGAATCGTGATTGTGCTGGCGAAACAAGGTAGGACGTGTGTCGCTCAATACATGGAGAGTTCCGGCTAGCACACAAGTCGACACGTAGTACATTGCGGGTGGAGCAATGCAGCTGGATGCAGAGGTGATGCGTAGCAAGCCAACCTGTACCGCATACCTGACTCGCTTGATCGACCCACGTGTCAACAGAGGAAAAACCAAGGAAAATTCATTTTCCGCAGGATTCAATCCCTCATTGTCTGATTCAAGCCTACCAATCAGCAGCTAACACGTGGCGTCCTCGAGGCACATCTTCTCTGCCCCTGCAGGCATGTGACAACCACGCGTGATGCATGTGAGTTGCTTGTGCAATGTCTTTTTTATCTCTTCAACCTCTGTTCGATTGATTTTTGTCTCAACTTTGATATTAATCCTAATTGAATTGTAGCCAAGTAATACATGTAGGAATCGTTAGGACTAGGACGTGCTAACATGCAGCTCTTAACTTAGGTGGTTAGAATATGCATCTTTGGAATTTAAATTAACAAATCTAAATAGGTGTGCATGTTTGTGAATAAAAATTACAGAAATGCCCTTTATGAGAATGCATGTCTATTAAATGCTTTCTCATGCACTAGAATGAGGGATTGAAAATTTGGGATCTGTGCTCCAGGTGTTGGAGCATGTTTGAGCTATAGGATTAAATTGTATGCTAGATTCAAGTAAATGTATGTATGAATTACCTATGCTTACTTGATCGATAGGATTATTTCCTTAGTAAACGACATGGACGTTTAGATCATGATTTCTATGCACTAGGTGATCAATAGAGCAGTAGAACCTAGGTGTGCATGAATCAGAGTCAGTGGAGCAGTAGAACAAGAGTGGTTATGCAAAATCTTAGGTCAATACATTTTCAGTACACTGACCACCGTAGGATCGTGAGTGGCAATTAGAGACCTAAGTGTACCTCAAGATTTTGCTTAGCCATGAGATGCTAACTTCGAGCGACTTGAAAATGTTTGTTGTGACCTAATCCACCTAGATGTCCTAAGACCTAAAATATCCACTGGGCACCAAGGTGAACTACGAGAACACATAAGACTGACAGTAACGCGAACGAAACTATTTGGAGATTCACTATGTGTAGAATATAACATGCCCTAATAACCTGAAGACTCACTATTAGTTGTAGAGCATAACCGGCCTTGATATAAGGAGCTACCACTGTATGTATGATAACCCACCTGAGAGAGGACAAGGGACTACAAAAGTGGATGACATGAGAAATTGCTGTTGTATGTACAATAACCCACCTAGAGAGGGACAAGGGACTATATAAGTAGATAACATGAGAAATCACTATCATGCGTATGATAACCCACCTTGAGAGTGGATGAGGGACTACATAGGTAGTTGATTGAGGATATATTATTGTGTGTAGAACAACCTGCCTAAGAGTAGACGAGATACTACATAGTAGTATATTGAGGAGCTACTATTCTGTGTGGAGGAAACTTACTCTAAGAGGAGACAAGGGACTACACAAATAGATTAGCTCATGGTAGACACCACTGTGGTGTGATGTAACATTTAGAGAATATCTAAACGCAAACTTCTTAGAACCCTACAACAAGCCCGTGGATACATATTAGGTTAAGGATCGGATGAAAGCTTACAGGTAGACTGCTTACTAAGTATTTTATACTCACTCATTTTCTCCTTTCTCTTTTAGGTACCAATCAAGGTGGAGAGATGCTAGAGAGTTGCACTATCATAGAGGGATGTCGACCCGGGGCGTCAATGTTATTTTGTATTTTTTTTGGGTTGTCGTTTGTATTGGTTTTCTTGCACCCCTTCCCCATTTGTAATAACTAGAACAATATCTATTGTTTCATATTAAGTCGCACACAATTTTACAGTTAATTGTTTGTTTTTATTTTATTCATTTTCATTTTCTTCTTTTCGTCGCGATCCGATTTCTTGAAGCCTAAAAAATTGGGTCGTGCTAGCCTCAAAGATCCAAAAAAATTTCTTACTTGTCGCAAACCCATTCGAATTATTTTACACCACAAACATTTGAATAAGATAACATACCTAAAATATGTTTTTCTTAAAGTGAATACACACACCACCACAAATAATCCATGTCCAAAATATAAGATAAAACAAACAACTTAACCTAATTTTTGTATAGCCGGCAATCTTTATTTAAGTTGTGGTTGAAGGGATGGGATCTCTTTGAATGCCACAAAGCCAAAGATACAACCTTTTTATTGTCCACACGAGAAGCTTCACCACCAAAAGAATGAAAGGAATAACAATACAACGAAGAGAAACCACTCCCACCATTGCTAACAAAATATACCATACTATTGTAAATGTCAATTCTAAAGCATACAAATTCCTAAATGAGGTATTTACAAGCCAAACTCCGAGTATGTAACTATGTGATAAGGTTGCAATAGCAACGTACATGGTTACTGTTAATAACCATGAACAAATCCCATTTTTTAAAGGCAATCGACCTATAATGAACATAATCACACATACTGATGCAAAGAATGAGATAAAATTTTTAACCAAATAAGCCGTGTAATAATTTCCTTGGCATGAAGTTGGGTAGGCCATTACTGCAGTTCCCGCTATGAATATTTTAAAAGTATTGCTACTATGAAACGAACGATGAATAGTGATATTAGAGTTGAAAGGAATGTCTTGTTGCCAAACACCGCCAGGAGGGTTGATTGCACCTTGAAAAGCTACCGCTGCGATCCCCGTTGCTACCAACATCATTGTACCTTGCACTTCTTGAAGCCAATCACCTTTGTATTCAAGGTTCTTTCTCCACAAACTTCTTATGTCATTGTATTGTTCTTCATTGTTCATAGTATTTTTTCCCGTTTTTATTCTCGGGATAGACAACAAATATCTTACTATTTGCATGGATAAGATTTTTTTATTTTTTTTGGAAAAAAAAATCATTAAAAATTATGAGAAAAAAAAATCTAATTTTTAAAAACAGTTTTAATTTCAAGTTTTTTTTTTTCCTGTTAATTACTTTTTTCATATATTTTCAAAATTCAACCAAAAGATTTGAAATAAAAACTAATGAAAGTAGTTTTTAATTTTAATTTTATTTATTTATTATTATTATTATTTTGAAGTTTGGCTCAAATATGAAAATGATTGTAAAAAAATTGTGAAAAAAAAAAATATATATTAATAGAAAGTGAATAACAAAATTATATATAAACTTAAATTTTTATGATAACCTACCTCAATATGTTTTAACATCGTAGAAAAATCTAAAATGATATTTTCATTCACATCCGGTTGGTTTAGAAACCCATAATTTTGTGGATCTTCAATCATTGTGATCAACAACATAAGAGCTTTCAAGTGGTTGTGTTTTACACATAAATGAAGAATAGTTTGACCATTGTGAAGCTTCATCCAACGAGACTATGGCCTCACATTGATCAACAGTGGCATGATATCAATTCCCATTAATCACTGCATGGTGGAGAGGAATCAACCCATTCAAATCACAAACCATGCAAGTGCTTGTGTTCTTCTCCAGCAAAGCTTGAACAATCTTGACCGTTCGATTTTCAGAAGCTAAGTGGAGAGGTGTCCTTTGTTGGGCATCAACTTCTCCAGCAAGTTCAGGCATGAGGTTTAAAAGAAATCGAGTGAATTCAAGGTGGCGATGCAAAACCGAGACGTGCAATGGAGTCTCAATGTTGTAAGAGGAGATTAGAACTCTTTGAATGATACTCGGGTCTCTTCGAATTAGTGTCTTTAAATTTTGAATGGACCCGATCTTTGATGCTTCATAGAGTAATCGTTTTCTTTCTTCCATAGAGGACATGGCTAATCTAAGTTCGTGCTTTCTCCATTTGAAATATTGGAAGATTATGTGAGTTGTTGATGAGTTAAAATCTGTTTAGTATAGATAATCTTCAATCTGCATCTTCCAGAAACCGAAATTGGATCCATCAAACTTCTCAATTGTAATCTTTGAACTTTCCATCTCTCAAGTCTTGGTGAATCTCGCCTAGCTCTGATACTAGTTGTTAGGATTGCACAATAACCAACACACTCGATCAAGATAACACAAAGAAATAGAAGAGAGAAAATGCAATGAGGAATATTGGCTAAAGAATTTGTATTGATCACTTGAGACATGCACTACTCAAGAGTTATATATTTAGTTTCAGTTTACTATATGACTTTAACTCATATAACACCTATTAGATACAAATATTTACTATATAACATCACTTTTCCTTTTTAATTATAACGAAAAAGGTTGATTTAAGAACTATTTTAAAATAAATTTAAGGGTAAAAATGAAAAGGTTCTATCTCTAAATTTAACAAGTGTGTGGAATAATTTAACTTAATTAAACCACGAGAAGCAGTATCCGAGAAACAATAGCATCCCAATAAATTAAGTAAAATAAATAGTGATATATACTTCAATCCATGATTCAATAAATAAGTTTCCTTCGGTTTGCTTCCCATTCACTTAAACTAGGATGGTGACACTTTGGTGTCACTCTCAAGTGAAAGTATAAATAATGATTTTTTTTTTTTCTTATAGAAATTGAGGGCAATAATTAGACTATTTTCTAAATTCAAAAGGTCAACTTTAATTTGGTTGAGAGCCTCAACATCTATTAAAAATAAATAAATAATCAACAAAATCATATAAATAAAATATAGTATTTTTATAATGTTGGCTTATAAATTCGATGTGAAAACCCAATTTAGAAGTAAGTTAGAGAATCAATAATGGAGGCAAATGGAGAAAACAACTAACTTAGATTAACTATTTTCACTATTGAAGAAAGCAAAAGAAAGCTCTATGAAGCATCAAAGATTGGGTCCATTCAAAGCTTGAAGACACTAATTCGAGGCGATCCAAATATCATTGAAAGAGTTCTAATCTCTTCATCCAACGTTGAGAGTCCATTGTATGTCTCAGTTTTGCATTGCCACCTTGAATTCACTCTATTTCTTTTGAATCTCGTTCCTAAACTTGCAGGGAAAGTTGATGACCTACAAAGGACACCTCTCCACTTAGCTTCTGGAAATGGAACGATCGAGATTGTTCAAGCTTTGCTGGAGAAGAACACAAGCACTTGCATGGTTCGTGATTTGAATGGGTTGATTCCTCTACACCATGCAGTGATTAATGGAAGAATTGATATCATTCAACGGTTGATCATTGCGAGGCCAAGATCTCCTTGGGTTAAGCTTCACAATGGTCAAAGTGCTCTTCACTTATGCATAAAACACAACCATTTGGAATCTCTTAAGTTATTGATCATAATGATTGAAGATCCACAAAATTTTGGGTTCCTCAACCAAGTCAATGAGAATGAAAATACCATTTTGGATTTGTCTATAACTGAGGTATGTTATTATAATTGAATTAGCTGATTGAAGAAAAACTAAGTTCTTATTTGATTATTTAAAAAAACTGAAAAATTATTATTTCGAAGCTTAAATAGGTATCAAATAGGTCTTCCTCTCACACTTCTTCTCTCGAACGAAGTACAGTATAGAGCTTCCCTTAAGGCCTATAGAACCCTCGAACAAAGTACACTATTTGTTCGAAGCTTGAGTCACTTTTGACTACATTTTCAAGGGTCCCAACTTCTTTCTTTTGACATTTGAGGATTCTATTGACTTGACTAGGTTAAGGGCATGGCTCTGATACCATGTTAGGAATCATGGATCTCCATATTGATATGATATTGTCGGCTTTGAGCATAAGCTCTCGTGGCTTTCCTTTGGGCTTCCCTAAAAGGCATGATACCAATGGAGATGTATTCCTTAATCATATACCCACGATTATTCCCTAAATTAGTCAATGTTGGCTCCCTCCCAACAATCCTTCACATTATCTTGATATAAAAAAAATTGAATTCAAATTGTGCAAATAGTACAATATTTATTGTCTATCCCGAGAATAAAAATTGGAACAAACATTGTAAACAACTATGATGCCTCAAATGAGAAGGGATCGCCAAGTAGAATTGAAGAACAATGCAATAAAGGGTCATCAACATCCGCAACACTCAAAAAGCTCCTGAGAAGTTTGTGGATGAAGAACCTTAAATACAAAGGTGATTGGCTTCAAGAAGTGCAAGGCACAATGATGTTGGTGGCGACGGTGATTGCAACCGTGGCTTTTCAAGGTGCAATCAACCCTCCTGGAGGTGTTTGGCAAGAAGACATTTCTTACAACTCCAACAGCAGTATTCATCGTTCGTTACATTGTAACAATACTTTAAAAACTTTCATAGCAGGAACGGCAATAATGGCTTACCCAGCTTTAGGCCAAGAATATTATTACGTTGCTTACTTGATTACAAATTCTATCTCATTCTTTGCATCAATATGTGTGATTATGTTCATTATAGGTCGATTGCCTTTGAAAAATAGGATTTGTTCATGGTTATTAACTGTAACCATGTGCATTGCCATTGCATCCTTATCATATAGTTACTTACTCGCGGTTGGGCTGCTATATGTCTCATTTAGCCATTCTCCTATTTTAAGAGTAACATTTGTAATAGCATGGTACATTTGGTTAGTAATGGAGGAGTGGTGTTTATTTGTTGCATTATAATTCCCTTCCTTTTGGTGGTGAAGCTTCTCATTTGGGCTGCAAAAAAGTCAAATTGTTGACTTTCAGAGGGATACAATGACTTCAATCACAACTCAATAAAGCTCGAGGGCTACACAGAAACTAGGTTATGTTATATGTTCCATCTTGTATTTTAGATATGGATTATTTGTGGTGTTGTGTATTTACAATAAAGAAAACATAACTTTGTTCATATCTTTGTTTGTAGAGCACATTTGTGATGAATAAAAGGTAACTAAAAATCTTCCATCTTTGTTGGATATCAAGACTAAGATAAGAAAATAACAAAAACATATAAAATGCTAAGTCAATAAAACCTAAATTTAGATAGTTAACAATGTTACAAAATTTAAGAAAAATTATGGACTAAAGAAAATAATTACTAATTTGTTAGGACAGTTAGAATCTTGTTAACTGACCCTATGAAAAAATAAATAAAAAGACCAGTAAAAGGAAAATCTCGAAACATGTTTATAGAGATAGTAATTAGACTTCTATTATATAAGGCTATAAGATCGAAGAGCACTTTGGGCTTATACATTCTGACCCAAGCGATCTAATAAATGTAAAAGACATAGAATATTGTGAATATTTTATCAATCTAATTTATGATTATTCAATATATAAATATTTTTACCGAAGGCAACTTAGTTAACTTTTTACCATTTTGTACCATTTTGAGGTAAGAAGAGAAAGCAAGACTATTTTCAATAAATATATATATATATATATATATATCGGATAATAGAGATTGCATGAGAAATATGACTCCCTTGCATAAGAAATATGACTCCCTTTAAAACGGTCTATATGAAAATTTTAGGATTATGGAACAATAACAAACTTAGTTTACAACACTTCAACCTTTAGAATTGTTAAGCATTATGTTGAAATAAATTTAAAGAGGATGAATATATTTAGTGAAAAAGTGATGACTCAATCCTATTGAAATCCTAATTGTGACTAAGTTGAAGGTTTATTACTTCAAAATAGTTACAAGGGATGATGACAATGGAATAATAAGTTGAAGTCATGAAATCGAAGAATTTGTAGATGTTCTTGATGAAATTAAACTCATACGATATGAATGGATCTACAAAAGGAAAATTATGTGTAGTAAGAAGATACAGATCTTCAAAATAGAACTTATGGTAAAAAGTTGAATTTAATGGGAAAAGGTAGCTAGAAGTAGATTTTCTCTCACGTTGTTAATTTAGAGTATATTAATATTCTCTAATTCATATTTGCAATTCATTTTTCTAATATGTTCTAACATCAACATTATGTGAAATTATGCATGTAAAACATGATGGTATCAAGGACAAGAGGTAGACAATTTATGTAGGAGGAGTTTGAAGAACAGTTTACAATCAAAGAGTGCTAATGTCTATCTTGTATAATAAATATGAACTTCTCAAGTAGAAAAGTTTATAATCAAAGAGGCGTATAATAAATATGAACTTCTCAAGCCAAGGGTAGCCAAGGGTAGTGCTATTATAAGTAGGCTCCCAAAAATATATTCAACCTTTCAAGAATGCTAATGTCTATCACCAACCTCAGTTGGAATATTTTCTGCCACCATAGAGAACAAGCTATAGTTTCAATGGAGAAGGAGTTCTATGCACATGTTAATCGAAAGAAAGAATATAACTTAATAGTCAGAAAAAGATAATTGATTGGAGCACTAAGGCCATTAACCAATTCTTCCACCTACAAGCCTTCAAATATGTCGCATTTAATGAAATGGCAATAGCCCCTAGGATGTGCAACTCAAAACAACCTTGGAGAAAGTAAGCATGAGAGCAACACATTGTCAAATTTCAAAATAAGAGGCAAGGACAATACTAACAGCAAACCTCGACCCTAAAGCAAAGTTGTAGGTTGCATTTATGAAAACCAACCTACTACCCACTACTACCCACTACATATGATGCAAATAATATTTGCAATCATGAAAAATTTAAATATTGATTTGGATAAGATTATAGTGGAAGAAATAGATAAATGTACAAAGAGAGTGAGAAATTTATTTTTTCCACCGATGATAATCATGCCGTGTCCTTTTGATGAAGTGGAAAAAAAATTGGATGAAAGAACCCCAATGGAATACAAAGAAAACAGCCAGAAAAGTTCAAATGACAATGCAAGAAAGAGCAAATATTTAGAAATAGGTATGAATCAAATCAGGAACGACAAGAGAACCTACTCAACTGGTAGTGAAAACAACTAACTAAACTAAAAAGAATATGGGCCCTATGCAAGAAAAATGGATAAAACAAAATTCTAACATTTCAAACCTTCCAAAAGGAGATTTTCGAAGAATGGAGCCATAGAGAATCATCACATTCGACATAAGAGGAAGAGAATGCTTCCTTTAGAGATGCCTAAAGATGAGGGAATTTTTTGTCCATACTTATTGCAACCTTATTGTATTACTTAGAAGCATGCATCCATATTGTGCTTGACTATTTTTTATTGTTTTTTTCATTTAACTCGAGACAACGTTCGTGCATGCACCCTAGAAGTATGATCTTTTTAGGTAGGGTCATACATAGTGCATTTTAAAACTCATATCTAGTAAGAATATTTTGTGCAAAGATTAGGAATCATGGACTAAGAATCTATTGTAAAATGCTTCAATATCACGTTGAGATATTATAATAAATTAGTATTTCAATCTATGCTTGAATCTTGTTGTACAATTGTTATAGTATGCAAGAGGGTTTTGGAGTTAGGTAGGTTAGATGATGACTTAGGTTAAGATGCCTACACTAGGCTAAGCACCTTAAGAACGTGGCGTTAAGAAGGTCTAGACCCTATTACTCCAAGACTAAAAAACGAGTCGATGAGTTAGAATAGAGTAACTTGGAGCCAAAAGCTCGTGTTAAGCAACCTAATTGGCCTAGGAATTAACAAACCTCTTCAACTCCTAGAAATGACCAAGATGCATTTTAAAACCGCAACGATGCATAACTCTGATACCATATGGTGATGAATCTCGCCTAGCTCTGATACCAATTTTTAGGATTGCACAACAACGCACATACTCGATCAAGATGTTCACAAAGAAATAGGAGAGAGAAAATGTAAGGAGAAATATTGGTAAAGAATTTGTATATATAGGACTTGAGATAGGTACATTTAGAAACCAAGGCTATATATGGTTTTAGTTTCGTTTATACACATATTATATATAAATATTTACAATATATATCTCTAACATATTTTTATTATAAATAGTTTGCAGATTCCATATCCCAACGTTATCACATCACTTTTTCTTTTTATTTGTAACTAAAATGTTTAGTGAACAACTATTTTGAAATAAATTTAAGGGTTTTACTAAAATCTATCTCTAAATTTAACAATTGTTTGGTATAATTTAACTTAATCACAACCATGAGAGACATTATCCTTTTCGATGAGAAACTATATCTTTCCAATAAAATTAAGTGAAATAAATAATGATATATATTTCTATTAATGATTCCAAGAAGCTTCCTTGGGTTTGCTTCCGATCCCCTTAAACTAGGATGATGACACTTTGGTGTCACTCTCAAGTGAAAGTATAAATAATGATTTTTTTCTTCTAGGAAATGAAGCCAATAATTGGACTATTTTAAAAATTCAAAAGTTAACTTAATTGAAAGTCTCACCATCTATCACAAATAAATAAATAAATAATCAACAAAATCATATAAATAAAATATAGTATTTTTTTAATGTTGGGTTATAAATTCGATGTGAAAACCCATTTGGAAGTAAGTTAGAGAATCACTCATGGAGGCAAATGGAGAAAAGAACGAACTTAGATTACCCATTTCCTCTGTCGAAGAAAGTAAAAGAAAGCTCTATAAAGCATCAAAGATTGGGTCCATTCAAAGCTTGAAGATACTAATTCGAGGCGATCCAAATATCATTTAAAGAGTTCTAATATCTTCATCCAACGTTGAGAGTCCATTGCATGTCTCAGTTTTGCATGGCCATCTTGAATTCACTCGATTTCTACTGAATCTCGAGCCTAAACTTGCTAGGGAAGTTGATGACCTGCACAGGACACCTCTCCACTTAGCTTCTGTAAATGGAACGGTCGAAATTGTTTAAGCTTTGCTGGAGAAGAACACAAGCACTTGCATGGTTCGTGATTTGAATGGGTTGATTCCTCTCCATCATGCAGTGATTAATGGAAGAATTGATATCATGCAATGATTGATCGATGTGAGGCCAAGATCTCCTTGGATTAAGCTTCACAATGGTCAAACTGTTCTTCATTTATGCGTAAAATATAACCACTTGGAAACTCTTAAGTTGTTGACCACAATGATCGAAGATCCACAAGATTATGTTTTCCTCAACAAAGGCTATGAGAATGAAAATACCATTTTGGATTTAGCTATGATCTACGAATTGAGGTATGTTATTATAATTGAATTGGTTGGCCGAAGAAAAACTAAATTCTTATTTGATTATTTGATTATTAGTTTATTGAAAATTATTATTCTCAAGCTTAAAGTATCAAATAGGTCTAACAACAAGTTTTATCCATCAATCGTATGATATTGTCAACTTTGAGCATAAGCTCTCGTGGGTTTGCTTTGGGCTTCCCCAAAAAGTCTTATTGGAATGGAGATGTATTCGTTACTTATAAAACCATGATCATTTTCTAAATTAGCTAATCTTGGACTCCCTCCAGAAGGCCTTAGGAATTTTGGGCATGACTCTTATACCATGTTAGGAATCATAGATCTCCACAATGGTATGATATTGTCCATTGTCCACTTTGAGCATAAGCTCTCATGCTTTTGCTTTAGGCTTCCCCAAAAGGCCTTATACCAATGGAGATGTATTCCTTAATCATAAACTCACGATTATTCCCTAAATTAGGCAAGGTGGTACTCCCTCCCAACAATCCTCAACAATATCATGATATAAACAAATTGAATTCAAATTAGGCAGATAGTACAATATTTATTGTCTATTCC